GTGCCCCTCCCCCTTGCTCCGAGTGACAGTTTTCTGACTCTGGCCTGGCTACACCGCAGCAGTGTGGGGCACAGACAGTACGAGTGTAGCTACCCACCACAGGGAAAACAGGCTACAGTTGCACTACAGTGAGTCGCTACACGTGGCAGTGAAAGGCTCGGGCATGGAAGGGCACCGGTGATAGGACACTGCACTAAAAATGCTGGTGTAGGCGAGTGAGGCGTTGGGTAGGCGTGTGGGGAGCTGTGTAGGGCACGTACCCTCAGGGTCTGGTGTGTCTTTCCTCATCTACGCTACTGACACAGTGGGGGGCGCTGAAGGGCATGTACTGTGACACTGCCATAAGGACAGTTCAGTGTGGACAAGTACAGGCAGTCCCCGGGTTACGTACAAGATAGGGACTGTAGGTTTGTTCTTAAGTTGAATTTGTATGTAAGTCGGAACTGGTACATATTGTAGGGGAAACTCTAGCCAAACATTTCTCCAGAGCTCAGTTTTATTCTCCCACACCTCACTTCCCTCAGTCCTTTATTCTCAAGCTGAGGTGTCTGCTGAGAAAAGCCGCTCCGCGTCTCCCTGGTCTGCTGGGGGGGGCACTAGCTTCGCGTCTCCCTGGTCTGCTGGGGGGAAGCAGCTAGTGCGGGGTTGCCTCACCCCGTTTGTAAGTAGGGATCCGATGTAAATCGGATCCATGTAAACCGGGGGCTGCCTGTACATCGAAAACCGATATCGATAAAGTCAAATCTATCACATTTGATACCCGTGTATCTATATTACCTAGCTCTTTCACTGGAGACATGTCTCCACATGCTAATACTGCATCCACATTCCTGTTCAGCAGCACTTTTAAAATACAAAACAAATTGCAGACTAGTAAAAACTGATCTATAGACCTCAGAAAGAAATTGACGTGTCCGGTTTCCTGGAAATACGAGCATGTGACCTTTACAATACAGGCTTCTGACTGTCAGTTGTTGGGACTGAGTGACAGGATCACTCAATGATTCCCTGTTCTGTTCATTCCCTTCACTGACCGCTATTTGGAAGGCAGACAATCGAGATCTGACTCAGTACGGCTGTTCTCATGTTCTTACCTTCACAGTCTTTGGGGCCAGTTGATATTCGCAGTCGTAGCTCATTTAGCAATAGTTCCAACTTCAGCAATAGACAGCTACTGAAATACATACGGACGGGAAATTGAAAGTGAATGTTGTATTCCTCTCCACACTGCTGATGGGCCCACTTCCGCAGCCTCTGCTCCCATGAGTAGGGGCTGCAATATCAAGGCCTAAATCTTCCCTTCCCGGACTTCTTTCATTTCTGGCTATTTTCCCCCAGACATGCGCCCTGCTGCCTGCACCCCAGGAAAGCTCTGAATCCTGCTGAGGAAATGAGAGCTGGCTGCCCCTGACACCCTGCATCAGCTTCTAAGCGGGGTCTGTGGAGCCCTTTGTAAGCAGCATGTGTGGAACCTTCAAAGCAGGGACACAGACCTGGAAGCCTCCCAGGTACGAGGATACGAAGGGAAGAATAAAACTACGTTGCTCTCTCCTACCGATGGTGCTTTTCAGATTGACACCCCCAAGGCCTTTACTAAGACATTACCTATTTTAGAGCCTGGAGCAGAGGCAAAAAGCGGTGAAGTGAAGCTGACACAGGTACAATAATGGAATCATACCTCATGCCTCCAGCGGTCCATGCTACATCTCTTGTGCCCCGAACTGCAGGCAAACTCCACCAATGCTTTGGCTAGAAGTGATCGGAGCTTTCCTGACCAAACAATAAGGATTCACTTGAAATAGGTTACAGTGCAAAAGGAACTAAGGATTATAATTATCAGCATCTCTGGAAAGACAGGCGTGGTCACTATTTTTCTCTTGCATACGCCAAATACCCCCCTGAAATTGTGGCATTGATAAATTCAGACTCTTGACGAAAAACTTGATTTTTTGTTTGTTTTTAAAATGGTCTTTGAAATGACATTTTCCGTACCAAAATATGATTTCAAAGCAAACGGACATGCCAGGTTTTTCATTTAAATAAGCAAGTGAATTTTCCATTGTGACATTTCCAGTTTGATTTTATTCATTTTTTTTTTGTTAAACAATTTAACTTTGCTACTTTTAATGAGCACATAGAATTTGTGTTTGGTGCACCTTGTTCCCTAACTCTGTATCAATACATGCACACGCAACATTTAAAAATAAAGAACAACAAAAAGCCCCAGTCCCCTGAAATATGATTCAGAAAATAAAAAATAATTAAGATAAATTGAAAGATCCTTGGCTTGTAATAGGTTAACAACTGGGCTATGTGGGGTGAATTCCCTCCTTATTCCTACTTCAAATCGTTGCTACAGTTTTCCATAGGCTTAATATAATACAATTAGAAACTCTGGGCTCTGAATATTAAAAATCAGATGTCTATATCTCTGCTTCACCATGTGAGCAGAATGAGCGTGAGACATCAGCCCTGCAGTGGGATGCAAGAGTCTTGTGAAATGGAGCACACCAGACCCTTGTAAGTTACTATATACATCCTGGGCCAGATGGGAATTAGGACACAGCTATGTGCCAGCAACTCCATACTACCCACCTAAAGGGGATTCTCTTCCACCCCAAGGGCAATGGGAGACTCCTTTCAGTGTACACAGGACAACCTCACACACATTCTGCAGCCATGAGAACAGCCACTCACAGGTTGTAAAAGAGGAGACGGGCTAAAAGGCTGTTAGCTCTCTGAGTGGTAACAGCTTCCTTCCTCCACAGAGGGGACTTTGAGAGCCATTTGCTTGACTCGTGCGCTCAGTACCACATCACCCTCCCTCTGCGTGGGTCCACAGGCAGAGGCTGGAGCTACACCATGTTTTGCAGAAGGATCCATAGTTGCTTTTGCATCCTTCTCGTACTCGGTGAGTTGGGGAATGGGGCCGAGCTGGAAATATTTGTGCTAACATCCTAGATGGGCTTAAGGTGCCAAATAGCATAAAGCCCTGGGGGTGTTCAGAGATGGGGCTTGCTCCAACTCTCCCCAAAGCTCTTTGTGAACTTGGATCGGAACTTAGATCAGAATCTGAATGCTCCCAAATGCTGGGGATGGTCAGATATGGGGGTTGGTAGCCGGTGTTTTAGAGCAGTGTTTCTCAATCTGTGGTACGGGTACGCTTGGGGGATTCGAGAGATGACTGGGGGGGTACGTCAACAACTGAAAATCGGAGAAAATTGAATTTTTGCATTAAGTTTTATGGCACTTTATTATTTTTGTGCTTTTTACACGCAAGAATGTAATCGCCCACCCGGCTACGATTAAGTTGTCAAAACAAATGTGTTGTAATGGCAGAAAAAAGTGTGTGTGTGTCTGAAAATGGTAGGTACTAGGGGTACTTATATATATGGAAAAAAGGGGCACTTTTTTCTTAAGAAGGGTGCTTTATAAAAAAAAGTTGAGAAACATTGGTAGTTACTAGGGGTACTTATATATATATATATGGAAAAAAGGGGCGCTTTTTTCTTAAGAAGCGTGCTTTATAAAAAAAAAGGTTGAGAAACATTGTTCTAGATAATAACCCTTCTCCCAGGTGCTGCCAGCAGCATACAGGGCAGGTTTAAAAATCATGGGGTTCCTCTTTAAATTAATAAACACACTGGCTTGACCCTCCCACTTGACCCTGAAACCTGGGAAAAAGCAAATTCCATCCCTGGGTTTCATGAACAGGCAAAATTTCCCTGCTCACAAGCACAGAGCGAGCGCATGAAATAGAGACATTGTCTAAGGGGAAAGGGGCCATGGTATGAATGAGGGAAAAGAGCAATAATAGCTCAGAACTGGATACTAAATACAACCCCCCCCACACACACTGGTATTTTTGTTAGCTCAGACCCTCAGCTGCCCATGTGGACTTCCTTCCGTTAAAGCAGTGACCCTTTCCTGGTCACTCTCACCCTCCCCACTTGCCTTTTGTTGTCCAGGGGTAGGAAAAGCCCCGATTAGAGCAGATCTGTGCCCGTCTCCTAGGTAAAATGTTGCCTGCTCTGGTTCACAGACTCCACCCCCTAAGCCAGCCCCGGTGATTGCAGCTGGGATGGTGCTAGATCGGGGCCACTCATCAGACTCCTTCTGCTCTGCTGCTCCCCCACAGCCAAGGAAGGCCCCACTGTCGCCTGTCCCACACGTGTCCCACACAGAGATCGTCGGCGTATTTAGCTTCAGCTGAGTCCTGGCTCCCGGGGTGCAGGGCCCCTGCGATCAGCCACCCTTTCCCTCAGTCGTGCGTGTGCCCAGGCTCCCCTAGTCCCCTGTGCCAGACCGAGGGGTTGTGCAGGGGGACTCCGGACCCACGGCCTGTTCAGTGCCCTTCTCTTGCCCGCCTGTCACCCAAGCAGATCACTGAAAGCTCCTTGTCCCTGAGTCAAAACTTATCGGAGTGTCACTAAAGTCAAGAGTATCAGGGAACTAAATGCAAATGAGGCCGGGCTCCGTCGCGTCGCCCTGCTCACCAACAGAGGCCGGCAGAGAGCTCCCCGCTCTTGGAGGCTCTGTCCCCATTAGCTCTGGGCTGCTTTCCCCCTATTCCCAACAGGGGGCAGTAGCGAGCTCTCCGATCTCTAGGCCCTACGGTTTCCATCGATACTCAGAGGTTGCAGCTGGCGCTGGCATTCCGCAGAGAGAGGAGCTCTGTGGGGCTCTGACCTGTTGAGCCCATCGCATTGAATCTTGTGGGCTGGGCAGCTCCCCCAGGCCCAGCAGCCAATAGCTACCGTGGGAACCGTTTCCAGCACAAACTTATCCCAGTTTGCAGCGTTTAGGCAAGGAGTGGTCCGGCACAGCTCACAACCGGGCTGGGTTGCACTGGAGCCTCACCCAAGCTGAAGAGTGAGAGAGCTGAGGTGCAAAACCCACCCAGCAGTGGCAAGAGTAGTAGGGATAAAACCCTCTCCCGCGTGCATTGATTCCAGCTTCCCAGGGCAAAATGTGTGGGGAAGAGGATCCAGAGCATCTGTGTCTGTCAGTGTTTGTTCCAGGTCTCTTTTATAAGGGTCCCTCTGTCACCTCCTGTCCCCTTTGGAGCTGTGCAGTGTGGAGATCCACCATGGGCCTCCCACTCCCTGCCTGGCTCCCGCTGCAGGGGGAACAGAGCAAAGGGGCGCTGCACGGGGGAGGGGAGCCTTGTCAGTCAGGAGTCACAAGGTCTGTCGTGTCCACTGGTGGGGACAGAGCAATCCTG